CCTCCGTCAGGGCCGCCGGTCTGTTCTGGGAATAAAGCCCTCACAGCGCGCGGCGCCTGATCGGTTTTTTTCCTTTTAATTTTTTTTTTTTTGTCATTTGAACGGCGTTTGTGACGGGGCCGTGCGTTCACAGCTGGTGACCAATCGCGTAACCCGCCACTCGTGTAAATCTTTTTGCGTGCGTTCGTGGAAAGGCGCATCCCGCACCGCGCCTTACCCACTGAACCCGTCGGTGCGCAGGGCGCGCTCGGCGGCGCTTTGCAGAACTCGAGATCGTTGCAGACAGCTGTTTCTCCTGCGTAGTGCCGGTATTGCAGGAGATGCTGCGGTGCTGTGCGTACGCGCTGCTAGAAATCAAGTTTCCGTAATGCCTGACTTAAGTCACTAATTATGTTGTGATACCAAGGGAGAGAGTGTTCTTGGTGAAAGACGCACACCCACCGGATTGAGATGGGTTAAACTGATGACATCAGTCAAGTGCCAAAACTTAGAACATAAAACTTCTGCATTTCAGCCATCGAAAATAATTGATGCTGGATTTTTAATCTTCCTGAACGCTTAATCTTCTGTATGTTTTGGGGTTTTTTGATAGTGATGGTAGGGTGGTTTGGGTTTTGGGGAGTTTTTTGTTTTGTTTGGGGTTTTTTTGTAGGTAGAAAAAAGGGCGTTTGCTTAAGAAAGTTAATAACATACTGAAATACTAATTTTGGTCAGACAGGTTATATTGCAGTACCAGCTGACGGGTCACACTTAACCGATGTGAGGAGCATAGGCTGCAGCTCTAAAAACTGAAGTAAAACTTACATAAGCTTTCCATATCTTCACTAGAAATCAGGAGTGCATGTGTTCAAAAAGTCTGCCCAGGCAAGACAAGACCTAAATCACAGGATAACTATTAGTTCCATACGTATTACATTCTTTTATTTAAAAAAAAAAAAAAATTACAAAAAGTTTTGGTAATGCCATTTGCATGTATAAGAGATCCTGGTTTCCATTAGGTGAATTGAGGTTAAATTTTATATCTCAGTATGTTTTGCTTCTCAGAGGCAGAATGGTCTAACCTGTGAGAGACGGAAAAATCGGAGAAGAAAGGAGGTGCAGGAAAAACATCCTGCATGTGTTTGAGGACTTAATATGGAAATGCTGAGTATCCTGTATGTTTGAGTTGAGTTGAGTATCGTAGTGAAACTCAGAAACATCTGCTTAAAAACAGGTTTCTAGAACCATTCTTGAAATTTTAAACTCTGTGTGCTGTTCTTTCTTATAAACGGTTGGAACAATCCTTGAGGTGCAATTCACGATCTAATGTATTTTCAGTGTTAGCATTTTAAATCGGAAGCTCTAGCTGCTCCAATTGTTGCATATCATCTTTAATGTTATCTTCTAACTTCTTCATCTCCTTCTCTGCAGTAAATATTTAATGAAGATTATATTTCTGTGTTTTATAAAGTAAGCAACAGGTATTTTACAGAAAGTACAGGGAGGAAATCATCTAGACATCTTGGATATTGAAATCCTAATTCTGTAGTCCTAGGGATTTCAGTGGCATCACATTATCAGCAAAAGTAACTCAGCAATATTGGATTAAACTCGCCGTACCTTAGGGTCTAGCCCTCTGTATTGGGAGTTCTGCATCCACTGTCACGTATGATAGTGATTATTAAGTAACTCGGCATCTGATTTCTACACTGGTTTGTGCTTGCTTTCTCACCACTCTCAGTCACTCACTAAAAATATTAATAACGTTGTACAGAAAATATCCAGGAAAACAATCTATTAATTTCCCCTCTAATTTTACAATTAATTTTGGAACTTTTGATGGTGTGTGTGTATTTGTTTAGTTAATTAGTTCTTTTTAATTGCTGATAAGTTAAAGGGAGGAATTGTCAACATGCATAAAATTATATGTAGTCACTTTTTTTCCTAAATCAGCACTTGCGTTCTACTTCTGCGGGACCGACTAGAGCAAAAGCAGTCCGCTGGAGTCATGAGCCCCGTGTCAGGTACCAGCTTCAGGGAATCTGTCTTTGATCAGCTTTGTGCATTACAAAAAGGTGTTGCTGCATGGAAGGAACAACATGGGGAGGCTTTGTTTTGCCATTCTCTCTGTCGAAAATATTTATAGGTTTTATTTCTTCCTTGCAGAGATTCTGAAGGACCTGGATGATTACTATGAAAAATTTAAACGAGAGACAGATGCCGTGCAGAAGAGAAGAATGTTGCACTGCATACAGAGAGCCTTGATTCGGAGTCAGGAACTAGGGGACGAGAAAATCCAAATCGTCAGTCAGATGGTGGAGCTGGTTGAGAACAGAACCAGGCAAGTGGACAGTCACGTAGAACTGTTTGAGACTTGTCAAGAGACTAACGATACCACTGGAAACAGTGGGAAAGCCAGCCAAGATAAGTCAAAGAATGAGACAATCACACAGGCTGAAAAGCCCAACAATAAGAGATCGAGGCGGCAAAGGAATAATGAGAATCGAGAAAATGCTTCGAATAATCACGATCATGATGACATCACCTCAGGAACGCCAAAGGAGAAGAAAGCAAAAACATCCAAGAAGAAGAAACGGTCCAAGGCTAAAGCGGAGAGGGAAGCTTCTCCCCCAGACCTTCCTATTGACCCTAACGAGCCAACGTACTGCTTGTGCAACCAAGTCTCCTATGGAGAAATGATAGGATGTGATAACGATGAGTGCCCCATTGAGTGGTTTCACTTTTCCTGCGTGGGACTCAATCATAAACCAAAGGGCAAGTGGTACTGCCCCAAATGCAGAGGAGAAAATGAGAAAACTATGGACAAGGCATTGGAGAAGTCTAAAAAAGAAAGGGCCTACAACAGGTAGTTTGTAGACTTTTCATAGCAAAGAAAAATCAAACCACCAAACCAGTGTATTTATTGTCAGTGTCACCTTTGTTGAGGTGAAAGGATTGTAAAATGTATATTTTTAAAGGAGGTTTAAAACTGAACCATTCCTGTTATAGGGACGGCAATAAGCAATTTTGTTTTTCATTTGGTAAACTGTAACAAGAATGTGGTCTGTGGACCAATGTATTCCAAAAGTAAAGTTATAAGACTTTAAACTGAATATTTGGGTGGGTCTGAAAAGATAAATTAATACTTTTTTCTTTTCTTTTTTTTTTTTTTTTGTTTTCAGTGCTGGTAGCACTCTACCCATTAAAATTTTGATGACAAAAATATCTCTGAAATGTAATTTTGTTTTCTTTAATGAAAAATGTTATTTACCTTTTGAGCAAAACTGTTAAATAGTTTAGCCATCTGGTTGTATCTGAATAAAGCTGCAGTACATTACAAATGTAACTTCTTTTGGTGATAAGCAGCGCGAGAGCAAACAAAAGGAGGGTAAAATTTGGTTCCTGCTACAAAGTGTCAGTATAACAGTTCAATAGCAAATGTTTAAATAAGTTTAGAGGATTATTTTTAAAAAAAAAAAAAGTTAATGGTTAAATTTTACACAACAATATTTTATATGCTGGCCAAGTACCACAAGGGCCATTTTAAAATGATTGAATATGTTTTATATTTAACCAGGAAGCGGTTTAGTACTGAGACAACATAAATGAAGCTTTATACTGTCACAGATAGTAGTGTAGCAATCCTTAATTTGTTTAAGTTGTATAAATGTACATTTTTAAGTGGAGTTGCACTTACTGTATTATACTTGGAAATGCAGCCAAATGCCATTGTGTAACCAATGTGCATTTCCTGCAGTATGTATGAAAAAACTGTACAGCTGTGATATTAAGAAATAAATGGAACAACTTTGACAGTTTGCTGCTTTAGCAATCATGTTTAATGATCATTCCTGTAGCTTTAAAAAAAAATTGTCTTTAGCCTCAGCCGCTCCAGCAAGCAGCTGCTAGGAGCCTGAAACTGTTGTAGTGGTAACCAAATTACAGTTCTGATAATGGATCTTCATAGGGCCTATGGCCAGCCAGGTCGTAGGGGAGCCAAAATAGCATTTGACTTTCCATCCAAATCTAGTCTTTTTGTGCTTGCAGTTACTCCCAGACCTGGACATTTGTCTAAAAATTGATAGTATCAATTTTTTGGTCTTGTTCAGTTGTTTTCGTGCTTTTATGCTATGTGTATAAATTATTCCATGTTTGTTATCAGCAGAAAGATCTTTTGCGATACAGCATTTGCAAAATATTATTGCACCTGTTCCAGGCTAGGCATTTTTATTCTTCATGGTCACCTCATACAAAAATATACTAGCTATGGGCAAGGCGCTCTGCCTTAGATGAGGTGTGCAGGTCCTTGAAGCTTGGTCAGACTGCTTCCTTCACCTGCATGGCTGGAGAGGCCGACGTTCTGGCTGAGCTGATTTCGTCTCCTCGTCTCTCTGTGTGCCCTCGCTGCAAGTGCACAGGGGATGGGACCAGCAGAAGGAAGGCCGTGGAAGCGAAGGCTGTGAGATCTGGTGCATCAGACAAGAGTCTTGTAAGAGGATGGAAGGCTGGGGTGGGTTTTATTTGGAACACAGCATTCTCTTAAAATTCATAATTGTGGTGTTTTGCCTCCTGGACAGTGCAAGCATACCACTGAAGTGATGCTGGTTTTTCCCAATGCATTCAGCAGGTCCTTCTGTTGGAAGTAGGGGAGACAAGGTTTTGGATACAGTTGAACACGAGGCAGTTGAAGGGGCTCAGTGTTTCCTGAAGATGTACTGAAAAGTGCCAAGATGCACCGCATCACCTTGCGTGGATATTCCCTGCCAGACAGACATACTCACAGTGACAAGTAGAAGTCCTGTTTTACTTCTAAATAGGTACGCTGAGTGCGTGTTCACGTGCATTCGTGTTTCCAGTCACTACAGACTGTCACATTACACCGAGCCATCTTTGCCCTGGGCAAATGACCGCTCTGAATCACGTCTCCTGCTCCTGAGGTGGTTTAGGGTTGGTGTGCAGTTTCTCTAATCTCTTACTCTTCTTTTTTCCTCTTCTCTCAAAAGCCTTCTGGTTTTCCATTCTCCCTGTGC